CCCAGCACCTCTGCCATTTGACCTGCAGAACTGAGACAGGAGGGAATGGGTTCCCTCCTCCCTGTTTGGGGCAGGACTGACACTCTTGTTTTCTGTGCAGGATAGGAAAAGTTGGCAACCAGAAACGAGTGGTGGGAGTGCTGCTGGGCTCCTGGCAGAAGAAGATCCTGGATGTGTCCAACAGCTTTGCAGGTGGGTCCTGCCCCCCTCCAGACCCATGGAGTGATGTGATGGAGTTTGGATGTCCTGCATCACTCCAGACTCGTGGAGTGACATGGTGGAGTTTGGGTGTCCTGCTCTCCTCCAGACCCATGGAATGATGCAGCAGATGGATTGTGTTTGAGTTTTGGAGCTGCCCTGGCAGGGCATGGATTGTTCTTTCCATGTGTGTTGCCCACACCCCTAATTAAACCTCACTCTCCTTCAGCAGCCAAAGACACCCCAAAACATGGTGTTTCCATAAGCATGTTCATGCTGGGAGTTGGACTCTCACACCCTGACATGTTGTTGTATCCCCAGTACCTTTTGACGAGGACGACAAGGACGACACCGTGTGGTTCCTGGACCATGACTACCTGGAGAATATGTATGGAATGTTCAAGAAGGTCAACGGTGAGTTGAGGTCTGGAGGCAGTCAGGGATGCACTCCCAGAAACTTCCAGGACTGTGGAAAAATGAGTTTATATTAATTAGAGAATCAGAGAGTTGTTAAGGTCGGGAGAGACCTTTAAGATCAAGTCCAACCATCAGCCCAGTGCTACCACCATGGTCACCACTAACTGTGTCCACAAGTGCCACATCCACAGCGATTTGGGATGAGGACTTGTACCTCTGGATGTCAGAGGTCCAAGCTGTCAGATCCTGATGGCCACAGGATTAGTAAGTGCAGTTAAATGTCTCAGTTGAGTTAAGGAGTCAGGAGGGAAGTGATCTGATCGGAGTGAGCGGTGAGGATTGAGCAATTGGCAAACCCTCAGTCACATTGCCTTGTCATCCATTCCCCTTGCTTTACACAGACTTGCCCCTCAATTCTGTGACCCAGTCCCTGCCCAAATCCCTGCTGGGCTTTCCCTGTGGCTCTGATCTCGATTTCTTTCTCTCTTGCTCAGCCAGAGAAAGAATCGTTGGGTGGTACCACACAGGCCCCAAACTGCACAAGAACGACATCGCCATCAATGAGCTGATGAAGAGATACTGCCCCAACTCTGTGAGTGCTGGGCACTTCTCTGGGGCTGGGGGGGTTTGGCTCTCTCCCTAAAAAGGGGGAGCAGGGAATCCTTGGCCCACACCTTTGTTGCCAGTGTCTGTACAGTGATTGAGGAACTGAGATCAAGAGTGCTCTGAATGGATGTCTCAATGCCTGAGAGTAACTGAACCCTCTGAGCTGCCTCGTGCTGGTGCCGGGGTGGGGGAGGGAAGAGCTGACTCAGGGATATTTTTCCCTGCTCTTTGACTGAAATGCAGTGTTCCAAACCATTTCTTTTCTCCTTGAGGTGCTGGTGATCATCGATGTGAAGCCCAAGGACCTGGGGCTGCCCACAGAGGCCTATATCTCGGTGGAAGAAGTTCATGATGTGAGTATTTACCATCTGAAATAAGAAAATCACAGATCAGAGCACTTCTAGGGTGTCACTCTTGAGGTGTTGGCCTGCCTGCGGGTGTGCCCAGGTATGCTCAGTCCTCCTGCACCTGCCAGTGCCAAGTAGGTGGGTCAGGCATGAGCAACACTTACTCATCCCTTGCAGCCCTGTGAGACAAACAAGACCCAGGAGTAAGTCAGCTGTAATTGCTTAATTTAAATTAATTCTGGGTGTGTATAAAAAGTTTGGTCCTTTTGCCTTTCTCAGGCCTTCACAAGGGGGCAGAAGCTGCTCCCCTAAAATATCACAAGCTGCTCCTGCAAAATGTAAAGAAGTTGGATCAGGGAGGAGGGAAATAGTTAAATTTAGTGAGAGTTTCCATTGTTCCCTCTGGGCACAGAGCAGCAAATGCAGTAACTGGAAATGGAGCACAAGGAATTGCTGGGACAGTCTGGGACAGTGACACTGATTCTGTCAAGGAAATTCCTCTTGGATCGTTGTGGCCTGTCTAGAACTGCCTGGCTGGTTCCATTAGCACAATCCCTGATGCTCTGGCTGCAGTCCCATGCCTGAGTGTGTGTCCTTGCCCTGGCAGGATGGCACCCCAACCTCCAAGACCTTTGAGCATGTGACCAGCGAGATTGGAGCAGAGGAGGCTGAGGAAGTGGGTGTGGAGCACTTGCTACGGTGAGTGTGGAGGTAGGAGAGACCTTGGGAGACCTGCACAGCAATGCCTGTGCTCCATCCAGCATTCCTGGTGCTGGATTCCTGGAGAAACATGGAGCTTGTCACATAGAATCAAGGTTGGAAGAGTCCTCTAAGATCATTGAGTCCAACCCTTAACCTGCCACTGCTGTAACCCCTAAACCAGATCCTCCAGCGCCAGATCCAGATGACACTTAAACACCTCCAGGCATGGTGACTCCACCACCTCCCTGAGCAATATTCCAGTGCCTGAACACCCCAACAGTGGACAAATTCTTACCAATATCTAATCTGAATCTCCCCCATCTCATTTTATGGCGTTTCTCAGTGTTCCTTCCTGTTATCCCTCAGCTCTGCTCACGCTGCTTTGAGCTGGGAAGCTCAAAGTGCTTCAGAGTGCAAGGTGAGTTCCTAATCCCAACTCTCTCTGGCTTGCAGGGATATCAAGGACACCACGGTGGGCACCCTGTCCCAGCGGATCACGAATCAGGTCCATGGCTTGAAGGGACTGAACTCCAAGCTTCTGGACATCAGGAGCTACCTAGAGAAAGTAGCCATGGGCAAACTCCCCATCAACCACCAGATCATCTACCATCTCCAGGACGTCTTCAACCTGCTCCCAGATGTCAACCTGCAGGAGTTTGTCAAGGCCTTCTACCTGAAGACCAACGACCAGATGGTGGTGGTGTACCTGGCCTCGCTCATCCGCTCTGTCGTCGCCCTGCACAACCTCATCAACAACAAGATTGCCAACAGGGATGCCGAGAAGAAGGAGGGACAGGAGAAAGAGGAGAGTAAAAAGGAGAGGAAAGATGAGAAGGAGAAGGACAAGGAGAAGAGTGAGGGCAAGAAAGAGGAGAAAAAGGAGAAAAAGTAAAAGGTGTAGTTTTTTTATTTGTAAATTAAAAAACTTGTAAACTAAGTCCCTTAGTGCTTGGGGTATTTTGCCTGGTGTCAGTGGTCTGTGTCCTCCTCACCAGGGCTGGCCCTTGGGGCTGGCCTGGGGCAGGGATAGAGGGATCCAGGGGGAGAGTGGGTTGGTTGGTTATTTATTTTAGCACAGCACTTTTGCTTCCTCCAGTGCATCTTCAGGGGCTTTGAGGGCTTAGCTCACACCCCCATTTGGCTCTCAATGTGCCTATTCCCGTTTTCCAGGGCTAATCCACTGCTCTTAGTCAATTTCATGCAGCACATCCATGCCTGTGTTTGGCTCTTCTGTGCCCGGGTCCCACAGTGCCTGTGGATGTGGCACAGGTGGCACATGGCTGCTGTCACAGCCAGACTGGCTGTGTGTCACCTGCCTGGGTGATACCCAGGCTGTCAAAGCCTGCCTGCTGCTGTGGCTAAAGCACTGGTAGCCCTGTCACCTCCCCAGCCAGGCTGAGTAGCTCCCACAGCTGCAGGTGGCTGTGAGCCTGGGGACGCCTCTGGGCTGTCACTGCTCACACAGAATGTGCATGGAAAAAAGCCACAGGATTTAGGACCCTGGTGCCATGGCAGCCCCATCCCTGCACAGACAGACCCTGTGTGACACACAGACACAACAGATCTGGGCTGGACACACACATGGACACAGACACACAAACATCCACCCACTCCTGACCCAGGACAGACAGATGGACACACATGCATGGACACAGGACATGCACATGAACACAGGACATGCAGAGAGACCTAGGACACACACATGAATGTGGGACAGACACACACACACCCCCCCACACACACACAAACTCCCCC